ACTACCCTAAAATAGCTTCTTGTTAGCAGGGTTACAGCTGATCAAACTATATCTCTGTGTAGACGACATCTAATGATTTTCAGCTCGAACCATTTTACAAATTTACTAATGGTATAAAGGAAAAATTATTTATTACTCATTCGTCTCGGACAATAAGTTTCATCCACTATATTCTTATGGAGGCTATATGACACCAAATATTCAAAAAGCTGTTTACCAGGAACCTCAAGAAATTGAGGTCGTTTCAACTTGAGGGGGGAATTGTGAATTTCTACATTCTGAAGCAAATTTCTCTAATAATTCATGAATACACACTTTTTACTGGTAAGATACAGCATATTCCGATTATTAATATTCCCACCAATAGTTTTTTGTGGTTTTTCTTTAAAAAAAGTTCAAATATGACATTCACAATTTCCCCAACCTTAACTTCAACTGTAATATATGCTTCTACCCAGTTCTCATGGAGCATATATAAGATAAGACACTATGAGGTCCATACTGGCACCGCTCCACCTCCCACACAACGTTATTCATCTATTCATGACAAGCTAAATAAATAGACACCATGAATACCAGCAGAGACCACACAGGTAGAGGCCAGGGTTTTTATTATTAATCTATTTATTTTACAGACTCAAGGCTTCTCTATTTAAATTACAACATATCACTTGTGCTGACATTGGAATGCTTGCACTCTATTTTATGCACAAATACCACTCCTGTCATGTGTTCTGCACTCTGCCATGTGAACATGCCTTTGGTTGGAGAACAATCATTGACACACTTGTCACTTGTTTGCTTGGGACTGCACAGTTATTTCCTTTTCCTCAGAATTTAGACAAAATAGAATCACTTGACTGGTACAACACAGGGTTCAACTAATGCTGGTGTTTGAAGGCCATAATGAATCTGCCCTTGGCTAGTACGTGCTGATTCGTGAACTTTTTTGTTGACTGAAAACACTTGTGAAAAAGTATTTAGGCTATGATCGAGCACAGCTCTCCACTGAAACCTAGATTAATTAAATCTTTGAAGTGGGTTATCAGCAGTTTAAAGGAAGTTTAATTTCTGGGTGAGTGGGTCTACAGACTCTGATGGCGGTCGGTGAAAGTGAAATCTCTTACGCTTTGATGTAACTCCGTAACTCCATAACTAAACCTGCTCACAGTTCAAACATGTTCAATGATGCACATCAGCTCCTGTCTCAAGACCAGCCCAGCCTGAAGAAAGCCGTACATGCCTGTCAGTGATAACCACAATGGGCAAACACAACAGTACTGCTAGTTTGATACATCCACTGAAATCTGCATTATGGACAGTCTGCTAGCCTTCAAAGTTCTAGATCTGTCCTCTTCCCCTGCAAACCACTGAGAGTAGAAAAATCCAAACATGACCAATCAGGAGCGTTTAACCAGAGGAAACCTGTAACCCCAGAGACAACTACAGTTCCCACTTATACATCAATGTCATCCAACAGCAGTAGCTCNCATTCATTCCTTTCTGACCAACTCTCCAGTGCACCGTGTGCGCACGCTGTGTTGGACCCCTATGATTGGACAATACTTGGACCGTGTCACCACCGGAAAGAGGGAGAGGGTGGGGGTATGAAGATGAGTTTTTTTTAAATAACATTGTTTTACACAGACACGCACACGCACACACACACACACACACACACACACACACACACACACACACACACACACAATTTACAAGAATAATATAGAAAAAAACAAATTGGGGGCTCTGAAAGCAAATATCAAATGACTGCCTTTTCTTTCCAGTCAAGATAAATAGCATCTTATCTGGAATATAAAATCTGCCACTATAATGAGCTGGCCAAATGAGGCAGTAAAAGCAGGCAGTGATCAGTGATGTGTATTGATTTATCTCACAGATAATTTCATTGTGAATTTAAGGAACACTGGTCGGTCATTTGTAAAGTTTTATAAGAGGAAACAAGGTTGATATTGACTATACATTTGTAATGAACATTTCGACAAGTGTTCTAAATGTTTGTATTTTTATGTGATAAGGTTAGATAAGAGAGAGTTGATGGT